ACTTCTATCTTTCTTTGGTGGAGGCTTTTCATGCTTAAATGGGCAGGCATCATTCGTGCAGGTTCCTTTATTCCATTTGACACAGTATCCCTTTGGAATGTACCCAGTCTTCTCACCCACAGCCGGAGCTGCGCTGGACGACGAGGCACCGAGGGTCCTGGCAACTCGTTCACGGTTGGACTCGAGTCGCTCCCTGTCCAAGTAGCGGCGAACTGCTGTCACTAGGAAATCGTAGGACTTCTTTTCGGTCCCTTCCTCAGCACGATGATATTCCTGCAAGTCGTGTGCTATTGCTTTACTGGTTTTGACTTGGTTAAAGAACAGAGTCTCCAGAATGCTAATCTCAGGAATCTTGGGGATACCAGCCATTACTTGATCCCAATTGCTGATGAACCCACGTAGGTTGTCATTCTTGAGTTTGACACTGAACAAATCCTGTAGTGAGTAGGTCGCTCCATGTTTGATGTTGGTACTGAAATGTTCATGCATCATAAACAGCACCTGTCGACCTCTCACATAACGATGGTTTGTTGCTTCAGTTTCTTTGTAGGTGTCAACCTTTCTCGCAAAGTCACCTGTGAGAATGTTGGTGAGTGCGGAAAGCAATTTGGCATCCAATGTAGTGAACTTGCCTACGTCTCTAAGATTGCCGATTGTTTGGCCTTCCTTCCAGGTTTCACTTATCCAATCAAAGGCTTTGTCAGGGTCAGTTGAAGCCGACATTACAGCTTCCCGAGTACGGATTCTCCAATTTCTGTATGACTCCGCATGGGGAAAGGCTGGTACCTTTACGGTATCGGCTTCTTTGACCTTGTTCTTTTCATGTGATTGGTCCCTGGAACTACCAAACATGGTTCTCATGCGATGGATGAAACGGTGGTCACTATCATCAGAGTTGTACCCATCCCCGTCTCCATCATCATCATCACCGTCCCCAGGCCCACCTCCCGGAGGGCGTCGACTCCCCGAAGGGGGCTTCTTCCCACGCTTGTCCTTACCACGCCCGCTGTCATGATCTGCCTGTGAGTCCTTGTCATCATCTGGAGGGTCAGGTCCTGGTGGCTTTCCCCCGGCATCCGATGGTGCAACACTTGTTGGTGGATACGTTGGGGACCTAAGACCGGTTATCTCAGAGACAGGATCCTTATTATCCACTGGTGCATTTCCATCCGTGTCAAGCATTTCCCATATGTCTTGGTTGGGATCCGCTGGTTTGGATGCACTTGCTGATGCGAACGATGGCAACGGTGCAGAATACTTGACCTCAGTGGATGGCGGTATGACGGCAGTGGCGGTTTGGACAATTGGAACCGGCATTGGGCCTATTGTGTCAAGGAGTTTACTCATCCTCATGTTCATGGATTCGGTTTGCAACTGTTGGGCCTTTATTTGCTCACTCTGTTGCTTGATGATGGATTCGAGCTGAGACATTTGCATCCTACGGTGTTCATCTTGGCGTTCATAGTGTTCTTTGATGGATTGAATGTGCTGGTCCTTTGTAGCATTTGACTGTCTGGCATTTCCATCTAAAACCCTTTTGTACATTTCCCCTTGTTGGGCCAGTTCTTCACGAAATTGATTCTCCCGACTCTCTGCGAGCAACATCATCTGTTGCATCCGGGCACTCGCAGCTTGTTCTTCTGCATGGAACCTGCCACTCATTTCGGACACCATCGATTGCATCATGCTCTCTGTGTTGGCCATGGCCTCTCGATGGCGTACCTCAGCAACCTGCTCAACCATCTGTGTAATTGCAGGGTCATGTGCATTCACGTACACTTCGTTCTTTTGGACTTGCTGAAGGTTCATGGTGTTGTTTACTTCAGTCATTTCGTGATGGTGAACCTCAAGCTTGTTCGACTGTACATGATGTGAGCCGGCAGGCATGCCCTCCCGGGATGCGTGATAGTCATAACCACGGTGCGAAAACCTTGGTGCTCCACTCTGGGGCATAACAGCGCCTGGTGGGAGCGGGGCTCTGACTTCACGTTTGTCACTCCGAGAGCGTTCCGAAGGAGTCTGGGAAGTAGTGTGACTCGTTATGTCGATTTCAGTCTGGCGATCGTCTGCGTCCCGTATTGCCATGGCTTGCGAATTCCCGGAATTGCGCGGGCCCTCCGGAAATGGTTTTCCAGAGGGGGCAGACATTTAGTTACAAAGGGAACGTATCTGGCGATACGGCTGATAACCTATTTATATAGGCAACACAGCCAACATCAACCACAAAGCGCACACTGTTTTGCTTGAGCCATAATAGTCAAAGTATATACACGTACACAACCAGGCGTTACTTTACAGGGAGGTAATGGAGACTATACATAAGCACCATGTAAAAATAAAATTTGATCTTGGAGGTGGATCTGCTCCAGGTTTCAACCAGGAAGAAATTGGACACCTCGTCCACCTGTTCGTCACTGCTGCGATTTCCGGTTGAAGGATAACCTGCCAGAACCAACATTGAACAACCCATCAACACCTCAACAATTAACATGGACAGTCGACTGCCAGAGCTTGGGATTTTCGCCTCTTTCCCCCATTTGGATCCATTTGGATATTATTTAGATATATTTAGATATTATTAACATGGGCATCCCGGCGGCATCCCCCAACTTTTTGTAGCTGATGGCATTCAGATGCTTGTAGAATAAACAGTAATAAACTCAACGTGGAACGGATGTGGAACTGGCCATGCTGCAGCCAAGGGACTATCCAATTTGCAGTGCCGAAAAAATCGCACGAACCATCGCTCCATCCATGCTTTCACATCTCCTCAAGGAGCGCACGCGGAACGACTGCAAATCCCAAAGCACAGTGGTTTCAACATCTTTAATGGGGGATTATAAACCATAGATATATTATAAACTATTATAAACCATAGTGGTTTCACAGTGGTTTCAAATGGTTTCAATATCTATAGATATATATCTGAAATGAGTTTTTTCCCAAAATAAACACTTGAGACGGGGAACACGAAAGGTAGGTGATCAAGAAGGGGATTCAAAGCCTCTCTGTGTAAAAGTTGGCTGTGTGTAAATACAATAAGTGCGCACAAGTGTCTGTGTGCAATTTGTGCCTGTGTAAAGACATCTGTGTGTAAAAGCATCTGTATGTAAAAAATGTTGTGTGTAAAACCTTCTGTGCGTAAGACTTCTGTGCGGAGAACTTTCTGTGTAAAAACCGTCTGTCTGGAAAAACTGCTGTGCATATTTTTTTGTGCATAAAGGCATCTGTGCGAAAAAGTTTCTGCAGTCTAAAAATTGTTCTGGGTAAAGTTTCTAAATTCAAAAAAAAAACGGTCTTTAAAAATTTCTGTGTGCAGTCTGTGTTTACAAGTTTCTCTGTGTCAAATGTTTTTGGTATAGAAACAAAAACATGTGTAAAAATTGTTCTGTGCAAAGGTTTCTCTGTGGAAAAGTTTCTGTGTGTAAAAAAGTGTAAAAAAACACCTATGTGCCTTTATCTATGCGCGCAAAAGCATCTTTGTACAAAGCATCTGTATGTAAATACTTCTTTCTTTGCGTAAAACCCTTTGTGTAAGGGCGTCTGTGTACAAAAGTTTTTGTTGTGCACAAACCTCTCTGTGTAAGAATATCTGCACGTAAAAGCTGCTCTGTGTAAAGGCTTCTATGCGTAACTTCGTCCGTTTGTACAAACATATCGGTGCAAAATGCGTCACCACAGCAAAAACGAAAAAAAAAAGAATCCAAGATCAAATGCTTGATGTCGTTACCGTTGTTGATGATGGTGATGATGCGCGCAGGGCCCCCTGCGGTGAGTCCCAACTATCCCAACTGACTTTCTTGCCGCAGGCTTCTTTAGACCAAGTAAAAACAGGTGTTTTCGCTGCTCCGCAGGCACAGACAAAGCCATCTAGTTGCTTCAAAGACTCCGCCCATGCCAGCAATGTCAGCAATCAGAAAGCGCCCCTTGGCCCAGAGCTACCGCAATTGTCGGGACACAATCGGATCGAAACGTTGAGTGTTCGATGCGCTGCCAAGCATCTGCTGGCAACAAGCGTCCCGTGCCCATAGCCTGCTGTTTGAGGATGAAGACCGGATCTTAACAAGATCTTGACACTATCTAAGCTCTGAACAATATCATAACAATATCTTAGAATCTCCGAGCTTCATCGAACTTCAGGGTCAAACTGTAGAACTGCAAACACCCGCCCGGCGCAGTATGGGGAAGTGGCCCCAAGTGCACCTCGTCTGGCAAAACGAAGCTGTAGTTCTTGCAGGGTGTTCCTGGGATCCGTGGTCCTCGAAAGTCCAACTTGGCCTCAGCTCTGCTACTTAATCGTGAAAGGTGTTCAACCCTGGTGGCAAATGCTTATATAAAGAAGATTAAAGAAGCGGAAAAAAAGAATGAAACAGAGCCACTTTGGATACAGAAGTCGCCCAGAAAGGATGAACTTGGGTCAGTCTTGAGGTCGCTGCATGTTCCTGGAGCAGTTCCATCTTTGTTTGCATGTAGGTCCTTGGTAGGTATGATAGGTGCCACGACCCTCAGCCCCAATTCGAGATTTCTGGGGCAGCACTGTGGTATCTTCTGTTTCTTCTTGGCAAGCCGACCAGGTCCAAAAATCATCATGCCGGTGGTGCCGGAAGGTGCCTTTGGCAAACCTTCTCTGCAGGCTGAATGGCGACGCATCAGTGGGAGCATATCTTTCCTCCCAAGATCCATCAACACTACTCAACTACCACCTGGGAGATGAAATGCCATGCCTAAAGGGGCCGCAAGTTTGCCAGGTGGATTTGTCCAAAAAGTGGGTACCCCATGGGCCCCATGGTACCCGAAAATTTGGTCAAACTTGATGATCGATCATCATGTTCCCATGTTTTCCCGATGAAAGATGATGAAAGCTTAGTTTGGGACACAGCCCATGTTTGGACAAATCCAGGTGGAATTTCAGGAAGAGCTTCACAGGCTACAGCTGGAAACCAACACATTTTGCTAAGAAACGCGTTCACACTAGAAGTCAGCAAAGGTTAGTTTTTCTCTGATAGTTTTTGCAGGGAAAATCTGAAGGCTTGCAGATCCTGTGGGTGGAACCTCTTCGACTTCAAAATTGAAACCTTGGGAAACTACTTCGTAGCACGCATCGATTGCTAGAGAGATCCAGAACCCAATGCTAGAGATCCAGAACCCAAGTCAAAGATGCGCATCAACAGTGCCAGAGTTTCGCCAGAGTTGACGCAACTCAGCACAAATTTAATGCCAGCCAGATACCAGCAATAAAGGAAGATAAGATAAGTAGGAATAAAGGTCGGGACAGCAGACAGCACAAAACCTGCCAGCAAGCCCTCAGCAACACGTCCTGCCATCAAAATCCTGTGTCCAAGTTGGTGGCAGGACCTGTGCTTCATCTACCTCATGCAATTATTGTTTCAAACAAATGTGGAAATCTGCAAGTTCCGTTCTGCTCAGCATAATTATGCTCAGCGGGTTGTTTCCTCCAAAGCTTCTTCATCCAAGGGCTGAAAGCTCGGACTGCTGTTGATCCTAGGCTCGGAACAACTGAAAAACGAACCAATTGGCCAATGGCCTATAAGTATTATTTATTGTCCTATATTGCCCTATGCTTTCTCATTTGCCTAGTATCTTAGACCCAGCCTTCTCCCATAAATTTGCCAGGCTGCGACACCTTTCGTGAGAGATGTGGTTTGACCTGGCTTTGCCGCCCAAAGGTTCCATGTGAGAGTGGTCCACCAAATTCAAGTTGAGTGAAAACAAAACACATGACTTGTTGGATGGTTTTGGATAGTTTTGGGGTGCCAAAATTCCCTCCAAAATCCCAGCCTCTTCCGAATAAGTGGTCTGCAAAGTGCTCGGCAACAGCAACGGTTGCGAGCTGCCGCCTGAGCCCTGCGAGCTCTGAGAGTTTTGTGAAGAACGCCGGGGCCCTGGGCGGGGCTTGCGGTCTTCAACCAATGGAAAAAAATATGAAAAGTGGATGAAAGTGGGAGAACCACCAGGAATTATCAAGAATCCAAAGAAATCCTAAGAAATCCAGAGCAACCCAAAAAAGAAGTCCGAGAAATTCCGCTGGCAAATGTTCTGCAAACAAAAAATTGACCAAAAAATGCCACCATTGCTGACAAGCCTTGAGCAGGGACTACAGGCACTATGGCCTGCACCTTCTTGATGTCGTGCACCTTCTTGGGCCTTGGGAAAGTTTTTAAAAAATTGAGGAACTCTTTTGTTGGGCACCCCATGTTGACCAGAAATGGGTTGAAATCTGGATCAGCATTTTGCGCCTGTATCTTCAACACATTTCAACACTGATGGTGAAGTAACATCATAATGAATTCTTCTGCAAATATGGCAGGGCCTGTTGCCTATTGGATGCGGCGTCGTGTGTTACACACAAGGCATTGATCAATATTGCTTTGGAGGTTCGACTCCTCCCCGGTCCGCTTTGCCTGATTTCATTGCTTTTGTATGCTTTTGCGGCCGTTTTGTTCTTGTGGCAATTTCTGCTTCTCCTTCTGCTTCTGCTTCTCCCTTTCTCCTCCTCCTCCTTTTCTCCTCCTCCTCCTCCTCCTTCTCCTCCTCCTCCTCCTCCTTCTTCTTCTTCTTCTTCTTTTTCTTCTTCTTCTTCTTCTTCTTTTTCTTCTTCTTCTTCTTTTTCTTCTTCTTCTTCTTCTTCGTCTTCTTCTTCTTATTATTCTTCTTCTTATTCTTCTTCGGCTTCTGTTTCTTCTTCTTCTTCTTCTTCTTATTCTTCTTCTTCTTCCTCTTTTTCTTCTTCTTCTTCTTCTTCTTCTAGACAGTGTTTTGTATTGCTGTGCGTCTTATTTCCGGAGCCATTGGGAGAGATTGTTTGGAACCTGAAGCACGGCTCAGCCGGTTTTACTCTAAATATCAACGCAGTTCAGAGAGAAGACTCCCCAATTCTTGGAGACTTGGGAAAAGCATGTTGAAGAAACCATTCTTCAGGTCTTTGACAGTCAGAAGTGTAACTATCCCCATTTATCATATAGCTTTACCGCATTTTAAACATATTATTGGATCATATTTTTTTGAAAAACAACGGGGGAAAAAAGGAAAAAAAGGATCCAGCTCCGACCAGAAACTACATTTATTTACTCTCTCTCTCTCTCTCTCTCCCTCTCTCCATCGCCTTCAGACCAAGTCTGCCTCAGTCTAACTAAGGGACAAAGGCAGGTAAGAGTAGATTTCGGTTCCTATTGTCATCTATTCTCTATAGATTATTTATATATATATACATATGTGTGTGTGTGTCTGTCTTAGTATTATATACATACATATAATTTATATATATTATTATATATATATCTCTACTGAACATGGACAACCACATAGTCTCAAGTTCCCCAGCCCCCATTGGGCGCATCACTTTTCGTCTGCATAGTGCTTCGTCATCTGAGGGCCTCGGCAGAGCCATTGGAGTTGCTGGTTTTCAAAACGCAAGGGGACAACCATCAAAAACCAAGCCTATGGGTAGAAAATCTATGGAACATCTCAAGTCTTGAAGTATTCTTAAGACCTTGGGGGTCAACGACTTCATGCCTCCAATCGCACTCTTATGGAATAACAACCAAGAAAGACCCCAAAGCCCGAAGCACGGAGTCGTGTAAAGCTCGATACAATTATCAGTGAATTCACAGGTGTCGTCTTTTGAAGAAGTCAATGGAGTCAATTTAGGAGGTCATTTACGCTCAGTTGTCAATAATTTTGAGCTGCACTTCATACCAAAATATACCAAGCTGCAATCATGAAGAAGCCGGTGCAGCATCACAAACTCACTAATCTCTTCCTGAAAATTCAGGCAGAATAAGGTGTGTCACCAATCCTGCTGGTCAATACGGTCAACACTGGGGCTGGGTTTCTATTGATTTATCATTCCTTTTCAGACACAGCAAAAGCCCAGCCTGCCCAAATTCTGGAGAAAACACAATGCAGTAACATAAAACTATATAAAACTTATTTCAGCCATGTTTTACGAGTAACATCTACAAAAGACAAGCTTGACTTGGGTTGGCCTTTCTGACCATTTCAAGCAACGATCCCGTTATCACAGTCCTGGCCTTGCGCTGGTCCTCTGCATACTGTGAAGCCAACCACTCCTTCTCTTTACGCTCCTCAAGAGCCAGGGAAGGTCATCAGCACGTGTTCACCATCATTGCCAGAAAAGTGCACCATCAAATGCAGCCATGGGCGGTCCCTATCCGCGTTCTCCAAACATGCCTGGCGGTGTCCACACTTCAGCTTTTGGCTCAAGCTTCCACGCAAGAGTTTTGTTTCGTTTCGTTTGCGTATGTTTATATACATACATGCTACACACATGCTTCACCCAAGACATTGTTTTTTTCCAAATGTTTTCTATGTGTTTTCCCACTGCTAGGTCCTAATCCTCCTATTGGATGTCGTGCCTTGCGGGGCCGGGAAACGCCAGGTGATGCTCCGCTGCCCATGGTGGGTGCAAACAGGATGACGATTTCAGCGATTCTTAGGTGATGTAGTTGTTGATGTCGTTAATGTATGTTGCTAATGTTGTGGTATATGATTTGTATGTTACTGCTTGTTTCTGTATGTTGGTTTCGATTTCCTGGTGGGACTACGGCTTGTATCGCTTGCGGCCAACGGCCAACTGGCCAACTCCATAGAGTGTTGAGCTGCGAAAGGACTGGCTCACGACTCTTCGAAATAAATATTGGTCCGAAGTTGTTTAAAAGAAGTCGTGAATAATTGGCTCAGGACTGGCTCATTGGCTCACGACTTCGATAAATTATATAAATTGAAACTAGCTTGTTTTGAGCAATGCATTTCCAGGTCAACGAACTTCATCGACAAGCACTTCATGATCTTCATGGATCATCATGGAAGGTCAACCACAAGCCGCTTGCCAATTCTGGTAAGGCCAGGACTGCCGCGGATAGCTGCCAGGGTCCGTTTCGGGACCAGCTAGCCAGCAATTCCCACTGGTGTTGCATTCCTGACACGGAAGTTTCCGGCTGCAGCAACCAGTCATGACCCAAACAGCTTCACTACTGCTGCCAGGTCTCGACCAAGTCTGCATCACTTGGAACGCCTGGTTTCTCTGAACCAGGAACAACCTCAATGCAATCCATGTGCCCCTGCAGCAGCACGAAGCAACGAATTAATGCAATACTGACAAGCCACCCCAAGATTCGCCAGCAACCACGCTCCGGATTTTTCCACCTCAGGAATTGCTGGGGCCAGCGGTGCAATATCCCAGAAAGGATCTCAAACATAAACATGAAGCTGCAACATTCCGACAGAAGTTCTGCTGATAGCGCAGAACTTTTCAGAACTCTTGATATGTCTACATTACATCATGAACCGATGTTTATCCTGCAATATCTTGCACATTCTTACTTGAAATGGTGGGGGAAATGATGAAAACATGTCTCACCCAGCGCCAGGACTAAGAGCCCGGGCTCGCTTATAGAGTTGCTCCCCAGGGCGCAGGGACTTCATCCCGGTCAAGACCAACCTGCTCAAAAACAGGAACCGTCCGAACCGTGGATTCCTGAATAGAAACTCATACCAAGGCATGGGTTTCATAGCTAATGGCTCAATGGTCAGGGATTTCCAATGGAAAAAAAAGTATGGGCAACAGAATGCATTCCCTAGCGGAGCTGAACCCTCGAGGGAGCTACATCCCAACTTTCCATAGCTTTCCCATTTTGACACTTTTAAGGTACAGGTACAGTCGCCAGCATGCACATCAGGCAATGCGGCACCTCTCTAGAAGCATGAACAGTCCGGTCCACCACCGAAAATCCCGGCAGTTGCCGGGGGTGAAAATCGGTCTGGATCTTGGCTATCTGCAATCCTAATTTTCCTGAGTGCCACCCGGGCAGACAGTGTAGAATAAGACCCACAAGCCAATTGCCATTTCTATATGCCGGTTTCTTGGCTGATTCTTGTTGTCCCCTTCCAAATGGAAGGATATGGAAATTTCCTAAAATGGGGATACCCCAAATCATCCAAGTCTTGAAACTCATGGTTTTGATTGGTTTTGGGGATCCCCCAATATCAAAAGCTGGCTATTGGCTGTGCCACCCTGAACAGTTCAACAACTGCTATTGCTCCCATCAGAGGAGACATCTGACCTGCGAGGCAAGAAGGCAACGGTTGGACCCAAGGGTCGGGTAGCAAAGGAAACACAAATTGCTGGTCATATCTAGTCATATTTCCACATATGACCAAATAGAGTGTATATTATAAATATATTATATTATATATACCTACCGCAGGTTGTGAATGATCATCATGATCACGATAGATCAAAGCGATCGATATTTGTGGCAAATGATTTGTAGCCATGACAACATGATCACGGAGGTGGATTCCACAG